CCTTAATATCATCTGCAAATTTAAATAATTTATTGACCATTCCTTCATCTATATCATTGAAGTCAATTAAAAAGAGCAAAGGTTCTAAGACTGACCCCTGAGGTACCCCACTTGTGACATTAATCTAGTTTGACTGAACTCCAATTGTAACAACCCTCTGCTTTCTTTCATCCAGCCATTCTTCTGTCCAATTTGTTAATTTATCCCCCACACCAACAGAGATATTTTTGCAAGCCTTTTATGTGGCACCTTCTCGAATGCTTTCTGAAAATTCATACACACCAACTCTACACCCTTACCCTCATCTACATAAACAGTAACCTTTTCAAAGAATGTCAAAAGATTCGCAAGGCAAGATTTTCCCTTAGTGAAACCATGTTGACTATCCAATAAAATTCTAAACTTTGTTAAATGACTACACTAGTCTTAACCATTGTATTTATACTTATAGCCTTGAAATAAATACTCAATACCAGTAGCCTATTGTTAACACTGTTACTGTTAAGCCTAACGTTTAAGAACCAATTATATTATTTTATCTACTATTTTCTCTTCACACTAAAGTAATAAAGTTTATCTATAATTATACAGAACGTAATAATTTACTAAAATAATATACGTAACGTTAATAATAAAATGTATTTAGCCTGATTTATATTATAACCTACCTATATCTATAAGCTGAATTTAAAATAATGGATCTAAGTTCAAGTAAACAAGTTAATTCTTAAAACACCAGGAGACAATAAACTAGTTTTTAGATTGTATTTATTTAATAAAACAATATATCTAGGTCTAAAGTACCATTACACATACTAAGCATATATTAACGTTGTAGTAATTTACACTACTAAACTCTAACTTAAAACATTGACGGTCTTACTTTTATTTACCAATCGTACTATATCTATTTATTATTGTGCTATTTAACCCAAATTACTACAAATTATAATAATGATAGTAAATAACTTTCAGAAATTTATAAGAGCTTAACCTTTCTACGTCCTCCCTCTTCTGTCGCACCCTCTATTTAGTGAAAGTAATTCAAAGTGTAATTCATGAAAAACTATAACAAATTAGTTTATTTCTTCATTGACGTTTCTACAAGCTATAAGAGTTGTACACAGTTGTAGCTTGTTGTAGGCCTACGTTTACAAATGATGCAAACTGATCTTACTAATGTAAAAATCAACATATTTGCTCTTTCCGATTATAAACAAAATCTGAGTGAAACATTCTGACCAATTCACACTTAATTATCTCTTGATGCTTCACTAATCATGTATTTATAACCTACTCTCGAATGTACTAGAAAATTTGATGTCAAATGTCCTAGAATTTTCCGGCTGTTCTAGGCCTATCTGGTCTAACGTCATTTTTTTGGCCCGCAGCTCTCTCTGGCGAAAAACAAATTACGACATTATAAAATATAGCTTATAACAACGTATAATGTGTATAGCAGAAACGGCTGGTATGGGTATTAAAAACTTTATTTTAATTAAAGTTTTTAATACTCGTACCAACCGTCTCTGCTATATATTTTTACTTCAAGTGGGTTTCTCGTCATCATGAACATATAATTTGTTAACCATTTTAAGATTTGATGAAAATGAGTATAAAAAACATGAAGTGGTTTTTACGTAAAGATAATATAAAAACACTATTTTATGTTTCGAACCACCGTATATGAAACATGTAAACATTTATGTAAATAAATACCTATGCCTATGCGCTTTGATCTTTGCTACTTTAATTTATCTATTAAATATCATTGTTTACAGAAAAATTATATTTATCATATTGTTGAGAGTTAAGAGCACTAATTTTTTCTGTGTTTATTACATAATTTATTATGTTTAGATGCCAGACTTAAATCATTTTAGTTATCGTTAAAAACTGGGAAATTCACAAGAAATACAGAACTTTCGAAACAAACCATCGGTACAATGTGAATTCACCAAAGTTCAGTTCATGAACTATGGCAACTCTTTAGTCAAATTATTTAAGTAATGTAAAATACACCTAGAATCCCTGTAGATCTATGATGATTGTATCACATATCAAATTATTTAAGTAATGTAAAATATCCCTTAAATCCCTGTTTATCTATGATGACTGTATCACAGACCAAATTATTTAAGTAATGTAAAATATTCCTAAAATCCCTGTAGATCTATGATTATTTTACATTACTTAAATAATTTGGTCTGTGATACAGTTTCCTAAAATCCCTGTAGATCTCTGACGTTTGTATCAAAAGTCGTAGTATTAGTTGATAATTTTGCCCCACTGGAAGAAAAGCTTTATATAAGATAATATCGTTTTGCAGCTCGCTGCAAACACCTGCCGGAACAGCCGAAGCATGGCATGGTGATAGCTCCTAAGACCGACCACAACATGACGGCCTTGTACCGCTGTAAAGATGGCTACAAGCTAGTCGGCCCGAATCTCACTACGTGTAACTTTGGCAAGTGGACCAGTGACACTCCGCGTTGCGAGGAGGGTAAGTAGGTAGAATGTTAACTAGTGCTGTGTAGATTTAGTTGACTTTATAAGGTAGAAATCTGTAGCCTAGGTTTCATTGTCCGTCCCACAGTCTACTGCCCCTTCCCCGGGTACCTACCTAACGGTCGGGTGCTACTCGTGGGCCACATGGGTATGTACGACTACCGGCCCTACGTTCGGAAGGTCACCAACAACAGACAAATCATGTATGAGTGTAACCGTGGCTACATGCTGATGGACGGACCTCCAGGGGCAACGTGCGTGGACGGTAAGTGGAGCCCTACCTACCTTCCCCGGTGTGTTAAGGGATCACACCCCCGGATCCGTTGGACACGGTCCATTCGGGAAAGATTTCTCCGGCGGGTTAAGAGGAGAAAAGCTGGAGAAAGGAACAGAAATGTCGGTCGGAAGAAAAGGAGACGACCGAAAGGTTAGTAGAAATAAGACACTTTCTATTACTGCTGTAAAAAACTTTACGGTGAGGTAAGAAATCAGAGATTAACGTGTAATTTTAAATAAATGTTGACGTTTCTCGTACGAGTTCTGAAGTTGATATTATGTATAGAAGAACACGAGTTAGAAGAAACAACACAACCTGCTAATGTTTTCTACAAACCATTTCTAAAGCCAGACTTGATATCTGTAACAAAGTGTTATAATAAAAGAGACAACCTGAGGACGTGTCACATACATACATACAGTATAAAATGTTGACGACGCGCGGTTGATAGTAAAACTCAATTCAAGGAACAACACAACCTGCTAATGTTTTCTACAAAACGTTTCTAAAGCCAGACTTGATATCTGTAACAAAGTGTTATAATAAAAGAGACAACCTGAGGACGTGTCACATACATACATACAGTATAAAATGTTGACGACGCGCGGTTGATAGTTCGATGATAGTAAAACTCAATTCAAGGAACAACACAACCTGCTAATGTTTTCTACAAAACGTTTCTAAAGCCAGACTTGATATCTGTAACAAAGTGTTATAATAAAAGAGACAACCTGAAGACGTGTCACATACATACATACAGTATAAAATGTTGACGACGCGCGGTTGATAGTAAAACTCAATTCAAGGAACAACACAACCTGCTAATGTTTTCTACAAAACGTTTCTAAAGCCAGACTTGATATCTGTAACAAAGTGTTATAATAAAAGAGACAACCTGAAGACGTGTCACATACATACATACAGTATAAAATGTTGACGACGCGCGGTTGATAGTTCGATGATAGTAAAGCTCAATTCAAGAAAAAGTAAATACATAATTCTGTTATTACTTCTTACCGTAATTTGGATTTATAAATAACTTAAATAAAGTTGATAATAAAGAGAGGGCGTAACTCTTTGCTGGCCTGCCAGCACTTTGGTCTGGTATGTAAAAAAAAATACTTGTCCTATCCTAGCCAGCTTGATTAGCCCGAAAGTCTTCGTCAGCTCTAGGTATTGTGGAAGTTATAATGTGGCCCAAATATTGCTTCATACACTGCTTTGCTTTCACTAATAAATTATAAGTACAGTAGAAAAGTTTTAAAGTACCTTTATAAAGATTTATTATAAAATAAACTTTGTGACGTAGAACAGGCAAACAGTAAAAATGTTTTAACGTACCTTTATAAAGATTATTTATTATAAAACAAACTTTGTGTTGTAGAACAGGCAAACAGTAAAAAATGTTTTAACGTACCTTTATAAAGATTATTTATTATAAAACAAACTTTGTGTTGTAGAAGAAACACATAGTATAAAGTGTTTTAGTTTATCTTAAAAGGATGTTATAAAACGAAAATACGTGTTGTATGCCTAACACACAGTATAAAGTGTCTTAATTATATTAAAATGATGTGTTATAAAACGAAAACTCTGTGTCGTAAAACGAACACACAGTATAAAGTGTTTTAGTTTAATTTGAAAGGATGTGTTATAAAACGAAAACTTTGTGTCGTATAACGAACACACAGTATAAAGTGTTTTAGTTTAACTTAAAATTATGTGTTATAAAACGAAAACTTTGTGTCGTATAACGAACACACAGTATAAAGTGTTTTAGTTTAATTTGAAAGGATGTGTTATAAAACGAAAACTTTGTGTCATATAGCGAACTCACAGTATAAAGTGTCTTAATTATATTAAAATGATGTGTTATAAAACGAAAACTTTGTGTCGTAAAACGAACACACAGTATAAAGTGTTTTAGTTTAACTTAAAATTATGTGTTATAAAACGAAAACTTTGTGTCGTATAACGAACACACAGTATAAAGTGTTTTAGTTTAATTTGAAACGATGTTTTATAAAACGAATGATGTTAGACGGGTTCTTTTAAATTATTTGGTGAATATAAGTCCAGTCTACATTACAATAACAACTCTTTCTTAATGTTTCTACAAGCTTGTACTCTGTCGTAACTAGTAGGCCTGAGTTTACAAATGACGTTCAAACGGAAATATCTCGCTGATAGTACTAAGACTAACGTAAAGATAAACATACTTGTAAAAATTCACGATCGAGTAATTGAATCACGCTAATCCAAATACTTCATTCAAACAAAATACTTATTGAACTAACCTGCCTGACACTAGACTACTCGATACTGCAATGATTCTCGTATTTATAATGTATTCGCTTTTCTCAATACTCCCTGAAGTTACTCGATGTTCGTGACGTCATATTCAGATCTTTTTAGGCCTATTCTCACAAATTTACTTTATTGTAACATGTAGCTAGCCCATTACAATACTCTATGTCGTACATCAAACACACAAGATGTGTTATAAAACACAGACTTTGAGTTGTATACTTAACATACAATAGAAAATGTTTCAATGTAACTTTATAAAGATGTGCCATAGAACAAACTTTATGTTATATGTTTAATATACAGTTGAAAATGTTGTAATGTAACTTTGTATAGATGTGTTATAGAACAAACTTTATGTTATATGTTTAATATACAGTTGAAAATGTTGTAATGTAACTTTATAAAGATGTGTTATAGAACAAACTTTATGTTATATGTTTAATATACAGTTGAAAATGTTGTAATGTAACTTTATAAAGATGTGTTATAGAACACACTTTATGTTATATGTTTAATATACAGTTGAAAATGTTGTAATGTAACTTTATAACGATGTGCCATAGAACAAACTTTATGTTATATGTTTAATATACAGTTGAAAATGTTTTAATGTACCTTTATAACGATGTGCCATAGAACAAACTTTATGTTATATGTTTAATATACAGTTGAAAATGTTGTAATGTAACTTTATAACGATGTGCCATAGAACAAACTTTATGTTATATGTTTAATATACAGTTGAAAATGTTTTAATCTAACTTTGTATAGATGCCCTTTAAAATGCAAACCTTGTGTCGTATAGCAAGCATACGGTAGGCTTGTCTATCTTTACACGTGTGGAGACTGTAAGGCCTCCTATATTGGCAAAACCAAACGCCATTTAAAAGTCAGAACTTTGTAAGAATGTGTGGTATGATGTGTACTTACACATGTTACACTTACAACCAAGATAACGTAGATAAGAGTGACAACATCTTGTCTCTTCACAGACCCCTGCACACCAATCCCCCAAACACCAGTGATGGAAGTGGACATCCTGCGACTGGGGACAGGAAACAGCTCCATGCCTCATGGGACAAAACTCCGGGTGCGCTGTACCAAGGGATACGGTCTTAATCTGAAGAAAAACAGGATCCGTTGCGCCAGAGGGCGCTGGAAGCCCGGAGAACCTAAGTGTATTACCCGTACGTGACGAATGAATCTTGAATGTTGGCCACGACCTTGCTAACAGAATGAGAATCCTTCACTGAGTGAACTAGTATTTAATTTCCAAAATTTATCACATTTTTTTACAAATTACTTTCCTTCTCATTTACTTTATTTTAATAACTTTCTATATGTTCTACCAATACGGTCTCCTTCTTCCTGACTCGACTTTGTAATACATGTCTTACAACATACTCTAAACAGATCACATTTTGTGTACGTATTACAGACGTTTATATTCCTTTACCTACAGTTTCTGTGAATATAAACTCAAACAGATCACATTTTGTGTATGTATTACAGACGTTTATATTCCTTTACCTACAGTTTCTGTGAATATAAACTCAAACAGATCACATTTTGTGTACGTATTACAGACGTTTATATTCCTTTACCTACAGTTTCTGTGAATATAAACTCAAACAGATCACATTTTGTGTACGTATTACAGACGTTTATGTTCCTTTACCTACAGTTTCTGTGAATATAAACTCAAACAGATCACATTTTGTGTACGTATTACAGACGTTTATATTCTTCTACCTACAGTTTCTGTGAATATAAACTCAAACAGATCACATTTTATGTACGTATTACAGACGTTTATATTCTTCTACCTACAGTTTCTGTGAATATAAACTCAAACAGATCACATTTTATGTACGTATTACAGACGTTTATATTCCTTTACCTACAGTTTCTGTGAATATAAACTCAAACAGATCACATTTTGTGTACGTATTACAGACGTTTATATTCTTCTACCTACAGTTTCTGTGAATATAAACTCAAACAGATCACATTTTGTGTACGTATTACAGACGTTTATATTCTTCTACCTACAGTTTCTGTGAATATAAACTCAAACAGATCACATTTTATAAACCTATTGCAGATCTTTAAATTCTCCTGTAACTTAATTATTCTGTGAATATACTCTCTCAAGCGTTGACTTACAGAGATTGAACATTTGTGTCGCATGATCCTGTTACCATAGATTTATACATACTTGTTTAAACTCCAGTGCCTTGTGCTATACCGAAGACAGAACATGGACACTACCATTACTTCCAGAAAGTTGTGAAATTTGGGGAGTCCGTGGACCACGGAGAAGTGGTGAGATTAAACTGCTTCCCAGGATTCCAGCTTGTTGGAGTCGAGTCCCTTCGTTGTTGGTACGGAGAGTGGACCACAGGCAGCCTACCCAAGTGTGTTGCAGGTAAGCCTAATCCATAAGATGACAAACACCTACGACAGTTTGATATACGTATAAGATGACAGATACCTACGACAGTTTGATATGGGTATAACATGACCAACACCTACATCAGTTTGATATACGTATAACATGACCAACACCTACATCAGTTTGATATACGTATAAGATGACTAACATCTACATCAGTTTGATATACGTATAAAATGACAAACACCTACGACAGTTTGATATACGTATAAGATGACAAACACCTATATCAAACACAGATTTGATTCTTAAAGATATCGTACAACATATTATTGTTAAATCCTTTTCCCTATGCCTCCTGTGTTATAACATATTACTGCCATGCCTTTTCCCCTATGCCAGATGTCTCCTTTGTTAAAACACAATATATTATTGTCTTGCTTTTTTCCCCTATGCCATTTGTGTTAAACGACAACACATTAGTGAGATGCCCTTTCCCTATGCCTGCTGTGTTAAACAACAACACATTAGTGACCTATATTTTCCCCTATGCCTGCTGTGTTAAACAACAACACAATAGTGACCTGTATTTTCCCATATGCCTACTGTGTTAAACAACAACAACACATTAGTGACCTATATTTTCCCCTATGCCTGCTGTGTTAAACAACAACACAATAGTGACCTGTATTTTCCCATATGCCTACTGTGTTAAACAACAACACATTAGTGACCTATATTTTCCCATATGCCTGCTGTGTTAAACGACAACACATTAGTGACCTGTATTTCCCCTATGCCTGCTGCGTTAAATGACAACACATTAGTGACCTGTATTTTCCCCTATGCCTACTGTGTTAAACAACAACACATTAGTGACCTATATTTTCCCATATGCCTGCTGTGTTAAACGACAACACATTAGTGACCTGTATTTCCCCTATGCCTGCTGCGTTAAATGACAACACATTAGTGACCTGTATTTTCCCCTATGCCTACTGTGTTAAACAACAACACATTAGTGACATGTATTTTCCCCTATGCCTGCTGTGTTAAACGACAACACATTAGTGACCTGTATTTTCCCATATGCCTACTGTGTTATACAACAACACATTAGTGACCTGTCACACCACATTATTTATATGTTATTATTTAGACCCTTAACCTATCATCCTTTATGTTGAATTTTTCCCACGAAAAATAAGAAGGTGAAGGAGCATATCTAATATATGTATGATAAAAAATGTAGTGTTTACAATATAATAAAGGTATTTAGTTAGAATTGTACCAGTGAGTGTCATTGTGTTTCAAGATATAATGATGAATTACCTCACATTGGTTTGTCTGATAAAATAGATGCGGTTTAGAAAACGTGATTAGTTTAGAGGTCTGCCCTGGTAGAAAACTGACATTACTGTATGATTTTTAGTGTAATTAGGGTTAGTAATCTCCGAACTTGTTTGATTAAACTTACTCATCTTTATATATATATATATAGATTCATGTGCGAGCTGACAAAGAATACTTTAATATTAATCCATATACAAAGTAAAGATTTTTGTTTTGTTTTTAGGGCCCTGTGAATTACCCACCATTCCCCATGGCTACTACCTGTCCGGCTACAGAGCAGGTTTGACCATCTCCCACGGTTCGTCAGTTTCCTATGATTGTAAACCGGACTACGTCAAAGCTGACATTAACCCTACACATTGCAAAGAGGGAAGATTGCTTCCCAACCCACCTGCTTGTCTAACTCACACACTAAGAGTGAAGGTGCCTACCTGGGGTAAGATCATAGTCAGTCCTTATGTTTGTCTAACTCACACACTAAGGTGCCTACCTGGGGTAAGATCATAGTCAGTTCTTATGTTTGTCTAACTCACACACTAAGGTGCCTACCTGGGGTAAGATCATAGTCAGTCCTTATGTTTGTCTAACTCACACACTGAGAATGAAGGTGCCTACCTGGGGTAAGATCATACTCAGTCCTTATGTTTGTCTAAATCACACACTGAGAGTGAAGGTGCCTACCTGGGGTAAGATCACAGTCAGTCCTTATGTTTGTCTAAATCACACACTGAGAGTGAAGGTGCCTACCTGGGTTAAGATCATAGTCAGTCTTTATGTTTGTCTAAATCACACACTGAGAGTGAAGGTGCCTACCTGGGGTAAGATCACAGTCAGTGAAGGCGGTTTTTAAATTTTACGAAAACTCTTCTTCTTTTTCATAAATAATTCCTCTGGTGTTAGTCTGAAAAATATTCTTGTAAAACATTGTTTTTAGTTTTAGTCGTAGACTGGGTAGTTCACCCATAGAGAAAGTGTCCGGCTTGTATAACACTGTATTTAGATTTAGTTGTAGACTAAGTAGTTCACCAATAGAGAAAGTGTCCGGCTTGTAAAACATTGTATTTAGTTTTAGTTGTAGACTAAGTAGTTCACCCATAGAGAAAGTGTCCGGCTTGTATAACACTGTATTTAGTTGTAGTTGTAAACTAAGTTGTTCACCCATAGAGAAAGTGTCCGGCTTGTATAACACTGTATTTAGTTTTAGTTGTAGACTGAGTAGTTCACCCATAGAGAAAGTGTCCGGCTTGTATAACACTGTATTTAGTTTTAGTTGTAGACTGAGTAGTTCACCCATAGAGAAAGCGTCCGGCTTGTATAACACTGTATTTAGTTTTAGTTGTAGACTGAGTAGTTCACCCATAGAGAAAGTGTCCGGCTTGTATAACACTCTATTTAGACTTAGTTGTAGACTGAGTAGTTCACCCATAGAGAAAGTGTCCGGCTTGTATAACACTCTATTTAGACTTAGTTGTAGACTGAGTAGTTCACCCATAGA